ACCGTAGAAAAAGTCGCGTCTAACTCGGTGGTCCATAACATAGTTGATAAAAAAGGAAAAAAGGTGTCGAAAAAAAAAAAAAAAGAATGTAAGCCAATGATAAAGCCGAATAAACCAATTACTCAGAAAATAGTTAAGAAAGATCAAATAACGTCGTCTTTATACGCAGATGTAAAGCCGTTTGTACCATCGTACATAAAATCTGAACCAAAGCCATTTATTGATTCTCTTATTGCTATGGAGTATGCCAAAATTTGGCACGAAGAGTATAAAGTATACGAACAGGAAGTCATAAAACAAAAGTTAGTTAAGAAAAACAGAATAAAAAAACCAACGTTTAGTACTAAAAATAATCATTCACAGGATCTGCCTGACGTAAAACAATGTAGGAAAGGAGGAGGCGATGCACCGGTAGCTCCAAAATGTGTAAAACCCAAACTCGTATGGAAATAAATATTAGTACAGGTGTTAAACTGTGTATTCATAAGGAATCTTTTTAATTTAATTGCTATTAAATTTAATAATTATTATTTTAAATAATTTATTAATTCGAATTTTTTCATTATATTCAAACAAATTTATTTGTTTAAAAATTTTTAAAATCTAAATGCTATACTCGTACAAGACAACAAATAATGAAGTTTTCTGTAAACTGTTTTGGTGTATATTACTTTGATTCCGAGTGTAATTTCAGGTTTTTTCGATTAAATCAATTTTTTTAAATAGTTATTAACTAGTATTTAAGCATTTAATAAACAATCAAATCACAATAAAAAATTTTAATTATTTTATTTATTTTTAACTTTTCAAGTTTAATATGAAGAGTTGAAAAATTTGGGGCTTATCCGCTTAGTTAAGCTGTTTTATGTACCTTTACACTTGAATTTGCTAATTTGCATTTTCAAAAAAAAAAAAACTTGTAACTATTTTTAGGTTAAGACAAGGGTGTAATTGGATTTGGCGTAAAATGTCTGTAGTCCTATATAATTACTTTGTTATATTGTTAAAATTTTAAATACGGCTGAGAGTACAAAGAAAAAATGACAGTTGAAATTTATTATATTATATTTTAGTGATTAATAGTCTGTTTGTTTTCTGCAATCCAAATAAGAGCAAATGAAATAATGATTATTTTTGAAAATCAGGTCTTAATTATTATTCTAAAATCTAAAATTATTATTTAAAATCTAAAATTATTATTTTGAATCTGAATAAAAAACTTTAGAATGTTGATCATAAGATGTGCAAATACACATTTAATGCATTTCATCTCATCCACGCGTGTATTTGACTGATATATTCCGTGTGCTGCTTATAAAATAAATGGTAAAAATATTTTTTTCTTAACTATTGTTTTTCGATTTGTATTATGTTTTTTTTTATTATTTTCTAGTGAGGGTAACTCATCACTTTTTTATAGTGCACCGGATGGCAATTACGTGCTATTGAGCATTTCAAAACACACCCAAATTGCCAGTAGCAATTTATCATTAGTTACCATAGGTATTATAAATGTATAGACTTTTTGTTTTATTAAGTGGACTGGCATATGACAAGTGTCAGTCATCACGTGGTATTTCCTATAGTAAGGGTGGATTGCGCGTGCGTTTATACTAATGTTTCCATATTGAACCGGGATCGATTAATTATTATTATTTATCGTATACTATAAAAAGTGAGCATAGGAGTCATCTGGTCTGATTTGTTCCGGAGATAGGAACGCCACTAGTAGGGTAGGAATGCTCATGACGCATCCGTGGCCACTGAAGCGCAATTGCCGCACAATTAACGCTGACACGATACAGAACAATATCAGATAAAAAAAATATGCTCTTACATATTATTACACACTCCTCTCACAACTCAAATACACTTATTAATTGTCCGAGACCATATTTTCACTCATTCATTTCATCACTGTGTAAGTGGATATGAGGAAAAATTAAATCAAGTATACAGGGTGTGCATATGCGAATAACCTTAGGAAATAATATCCCAATGAATATTTTAATACCTCGAATAAAATTTATTAAGGTTGTTAAACGACTAATTTATTTTTAATGTAAAATTTTTGTAGTTTAAGTGTATCAATTTGTATACACTTATATATAATATGTATAGAATATGACTGTCGCCCAAGTGAAATGAAAAAATCCATAGAAATGTTGTTATTGTACGGAATGTTGAAACGTCATCATTCTTCAGTATATATTATTATTAAATAAAAGTACAAACGTTACTTAAAATCCGTCTTTTATATTAATGCCTTTTTGTGTCACCCTATAGAAAAACAGATAGCTAAAAGGGAAGTCGCTTTAGGTAGTTAATTGCATACAGATATTCCGACATTCACCCTCTCCATTTACAGATGTTAATCTCAATTTAGTTTTACATTTAAAAACAGCGTCAGCACCAGAAGCCGCAGCAGCACACAGCCCCTCGACCAATGTCCTTTTATCTACTGCTTAACTTTGTCCAATGGCCCTGTGAACAGATTTCAACAATGATAATTTGTGAGTGTGATGTTTGTGTGAAACCAATGAACTTAATACTCATTTCATATTTTTTGATAGGCACGACAAAAGCGGAACGTATTAAAAAATTACAATATGATCCTTTTAGGTACAGTATATTTACTTTTATAATTTTTTTTTAATACAACAGGAAAATTAAATCAATATTGGCAATATTCATTATTATTCTTTTATAATATTTATATGTTTTACAGGTTATGTTATTTTACAAAAAGACGATTATAATGTTTAGTAACGTCAAGAATTAGAAAATTCTTATTTTTGTTTTCTAAATTATTGTATTTTGCTACATTTATATCTTAAATTTAATAAAATTGGAACAATTTTAACTGGATACGCGCAGATAGGGAAGAGGCTTCTTTGGCTACTTAGCACTTCCTGAAATGACATTTGCACTCCCAAGCAGATTTCACCATTATATTAAAATTTTGTAGGAAATATAAAATAATTCCTCAGTATTGGACAAGTAATAACTATAATTTTAAATATTGTCTTTTAATATTGTGAATGTGCATAGTCATCGGAGTAGTATGTGTATTTTACTTAAAACATAGTAATATCTTTTGGATTCGATAATTATTCAAACCAAAAGATATTACGCAGGAAAAATACAGAAGTAGGAAAAAAAATGATGTACACAATGTTATACATTATTGTTTACTTATAAATAGATAAAAAGATGGTTGGGTATTCCATTTTTAGCGAAGCATGAAAAATTATTTTTTTTTCTTTGGAACTTAAGTATCCCTAAGAACATTATTGGCGCCTATAACTGTTAGTAGCATTTATAACAAAACTATTAATAACTGTTAACCTTAACCAGTATTTATAAATCTTTTGTGAAATAATAATAATAATAATATTAAAAACAACTATTTCTTCTTAAACACGATAGTGTTTTTCAATTTTGATAAAATAATAGTTATAATGCCAATTTAATAATACTGATTTGAAATATATAATTATTTTTAAAAAACTGCAAGATGTGTTAAAGATAAGTTTTACAAATTGGGTACAATCTAGTGAGGGTTTTGAGTTTAGAATAATTTTTTGTTTATTAAATTTTTTATGCTTCTATGATTTTTTTTCATCTGTAATTGTTGTATTTGTGTTTGAATAAAAATGTTTAAGTGGGTGGCCGCGTGTCTTGCCCTCATTGGTCACGTGTCAATAATATCGGAAGAACTACTATTACATCTACCACGGGAAAACTATTTAATGGCAAGCTACTTTATTGTAATGATTTATTAAACATATGTTTTGTTAAAGTAATAATATCGTGTTATTATGCTGATTTCGAGTACAATATCGGATTTATTTTTTATATCGATTTGAGTTTCCTTTATGGGCTTAATTATAAATCAATAAATTTTAAACACATTAATTTTAATCACTTCATGATTATTTTTAATTTAAAACAAATTTAACATTGGAGTTATTATAAAAACAGTTTGATGTTAGACATTTCCGTGTGTATATATAAATCCTAAAATATCACGTTGTGCATTTAAAAAATATTTTTGTTTGTTTTTTTTTTTTAATAATTTTGCGTCCAAACTTTAACATCTGCTCGTGACTGACACTATCTCTTTAGCAACTTAACAAAAAGATGAAATTTAAATAATATATGACATGCCTTTGTAGTATGTTAAATTAATTAAAATTCTCGCTATTAGAATTATCTTATTCTGTGATAAATAACTTAAAAAGTTATTTTTTCTATAGGTAGTAATGGGTACGTATATACTCACAATTATTAACGTTCTGGTAGTAATATATTTATATAAACGGTAAAATTTGATATCGATGTTAATTTTATACAGTTAAGTTTAGGCGGCAAAAAATCGCACAAATAAATTTTTAAATAATTTTGTTTTAAATATATTATATTTAAAACATTTAAAGAAAAACGTTAGATAAGTGATATGTTTAGATTGGACGAAGAAAGTAGACAAATCAAAGTATTTTAATGATACAATTACTTCTTTTATAAGAATTTTTAGTTTGTCGAGGTGGTGGTGTATGTTAACCGTTATCACTGTAGGTTGTTGATAGGTTTCATTACACGTAGAGCGCTAATAACGTGTAATTGACATCTAAAGTTATTAACAGCTACTTCACGGTAGTTAAAGGATTAATATTTATAATAGGTTTTTGGGATTATAGTTACGGTGTGCGGTAAAAATACCATATTATCAACGCATAATGGGCAAGTAATAGTGGTTAACGCGACACATAAAAAATCTCTATGTGTATAGAATTTTAGAAGAATCGTTTTTGAATAATATGACGTGTGTCGCGTGTGCCCGTCGTGAATAGTTTCGATAATTGCAAAAGGTGTTGCCGACGTTTTTGTTTAACATCCACTCGGTCGTGTGTGCGGGCACCGATTAGTTGCCAAATAATCGGTAAAAAACGTAGGAAGACAACACAATGCAACAAATCTATAACACTAATACTGTGTCAAATGGCGGTTTTGCACTTCGTACCGACATTGTATTGCAGCGCTTAGTGCAAAAAAGGATTCTGTCGCAGGTATACCATAAAGAGCAAAACGATTTTCTGTTAAACGTTCAAGGGGTTGGAATGAAGTCCACGTGTAAGGGTTAGGAAACGGCAGCAGCACTCGCTGTGGTACGCGTCACAATGTACAAGGGATGAGCGTTTTTGAATTATGGTTTTTCGGTCCCTTTTTATTTTTTAGCCCCGGGTGACTGAGAACGGGTTACACTTATGTAAAATGAATACAATAAAATATAAATTAATACCTGTGTGCACCGCTTATGTTCTTGTAGGAAAAACAGTTATATTTTTGTAAATACCGATTAAAAATAATGTGATTGTATTGTAGTGAAATGTTATGTCACACCTATGTAAGTAAGAGATGACTACTTTTGCGGCACAAGAATAATGTGTTTCGGTAAAAAAGTGTATAATGTTTTCTTTAATTTGTTTAGAGTTTATTATGCGACAGTGTATAATAGCAATAACAATAATAATATTATTATTATTGCTGTTCTCCATGTCTGTAGAATAAAATAAAATACTTTTTCTAAGAAAAATGTTTGATTTATGACGTGTTAGTGGTTATGAATTTCAATATGAACGAAGACCACAATAAATAACTTACTTATTTCTTTTTTATTGATTATTGTTATTACTAGAGTTAATGTTGTGGATTTTATTACTATTGTGCGGTTCAAAACTTCATTTTTGTACATCTTACCGATTTTGGTTGTATTTTATTTTCCCCTACAAAAATAATTAGCTAAATTTTTAACACATATAAAAAAATATTTAAATAACTTGTTGAAAGCCAAGTTTAATGATGATTTTTTTACCTATTAAGTAAAGATATAGTAAGTGAAGAAACTTAATAAAATTAAAAAAAAATTTTCTTTTCTGAATATTTAATATTATTGAATACAAGAGTGAATCTAAAATGTTTTGGGTATGTTAAAAAAATGTTTTGTTTGTATGAAACGTATTTGAGTTTTTTGATCTGATTTTTTATTTTTTCCGTAGAGTAAACTTTCCCACTAAATCCTCCCCTGATTAAATGTTAATTTTGTTGACATTTTCACTTCGTAAGCAAACTTAATGGAAATTAAGTTAAGAACATTTCCAGGGCATTAAAGTCATTGATTATTTTTAAGTTAAAAGTTGCCAAAAATAGTGCGGTATAAAAGAATTTATTCTCTCAAAAGTTCTATTTAAATCCGTCTAAAATTGATTTTAAGAATAAAAAATATTTATTGGTATGAACAAATATTTCCCATACAGTCAAATATCTCCAATTAATTAATAATGTATCATAATTCTTTTGTATCTTGTGAACAATACTTCAAAAGTACCTATAGGGAAGCATGTGAATTATTTTTGGTTGGGTATACTTTATAGTGATTTCTTCTAAACCGTTGTCTCATTTTAAACAAAAGAACTATTAATATTAAACTCTCATTGGGAACATAATAATATCGTTTGTATAATTGAAGTGGGTTTATGAGATAATAGTTACCATTAATACATTGCAAAATCTTTTGTTGGTTTTTAAGGACCTATTGACACGATTTTTACTATACAATATTGAGTATCTATATAAGAGCATTAAACGTACGAAAATGTTTATAGAAAAGTACTATTGTTATTTTAAATGTTCAAAACAATGAATTTTATATTGACAAAGACATGGGCATATGATCAACGTAGGTAAATTAATCAGTTAAAAATTAGACCAGTCAAATTTGATAATTTCCTATAATTCATGTAGCATTTTGAACTTTTATATGATTTGTAACATTAGTAGTTTTAAATTATAATTTATTTATAATGTTAATAACTTATTTATTTTAAATTTAAACCGTATCATTTATTGATATTCAAGCAGTCAGAGACTACATGAAATATACATCAACTGAGTTAAAACATTAAGTCATTAAGCAGAAAATGTACAAGAGAGTAATTTAAGGGCAAATCCATTTACATAAAATTTAATGACTAAAAATAGGTTCCCTTAATTGTTATAAAGCTAAAACACTGATTAAGACTTTTTTTGGTGATTTGCAGTGATGATATAAAAAAATATCTGATAGTTTATAAACTGTACTCTTGATAATTCGTATTATTATTTTTTATACTAATAATAATTATTGATAATATACTCAAATATAACTTATCGGAATAATTATAATTTACATTGTAAACCGTTTAGTTAAATTTATGGGATATTCAAAATCAAACATTTTAAGTAAAATAACTTTTATTATATTAAAATTTCAAAGTATAAAATTGAAGTATTGAATAAAAAAAAATTTTATTTTTGGCTAAATCTCGATTGCAATTTTACTTTCGTCAATAATATTTGCTACGCCATAATAGAATAACAGTAAACATAATACTATGAAAAAATCAAAAAAATCTAAAATCGATCAAATTATTAAAGAACATTCTTTTTCACTTAACTTAGTTATTTGACAATAATAATTAATTTTTTTCAGCCATAAATTTTTCGTCAGATTCAAATTGAGGGGGGCCAAAATAATAATTTTGCTCCCTCGTATTTTGACCAAAAGGCAACTCCCCCCTGCTCACCGGTTTCGACGCCGTTGTTGTAACTTTTTGGATGTACACCGATTTTTAAGATGTCAGCTTTTCCTTTAAGCAACTATTACACACCTGTCACTTTGTTTGGAATTATAATTTATTTGATATATATATCATGGTGTTGTTTACATTGTATGTACACTCTAAATATCAGTTGTTCTTTTTATGTCGTTTGCAACCCTAATGCGAAGTCTCTGCGGAGATGTTTCGTTGGTGTGTCGGGTTGTTAAAGCAGCCAAGTCGTGTCCGGACGACGATCACATTGTTGTGGCGTGTGCTTTGCTACATTGCTCTGCGGTGGTCTCGATTGGAATAGGCAATAAATTTAGTAGCGTACAAGACCGGCAGTGGTGATGACTAGGCCGCGTACCGTTTACTGCGGCGGCGATGAGGGCGGGATGTCACGTGCTACCTGCCGTGCCCGCATCGTTCCGTGTAGTTAAGACAGCAGCTGAGTTTTCACCTGTGTGTTTTGACTTTGGCCCACAACTGCAGCTTGGCTACTCTACAGTCTATACAAGTTGCTAATAAGTAATAACAATAAAAACGTCCACGTTGACCGTGGCGGCGCTTGAAAAACATACATTGGTGCCAGACACTTCAAACTAAAACTATAACATGTAATGCATGTGTATATAATTTTGATGTACATACCGATATGTGTGTAGTTTATAATAGAGTTTATAGTTTAACGATTAAACATAAAGTTATAACTGGAGTTCGATTAAAAAATTTGTCAATTTATTCCATGCCATTAGAGGCGATACTATGAGAGTGCTAAAGGTGCTGCAACGTCTCTAAGAATCTACTGAATTTTTTTTCTGCGTTACATAAAAATATTTTGTAAGGCAAGAGAATTAAATTTCATTTTAATTAGTACCTAAATAGTTCATTCTAGTTGTGCCTTTGCATTTCATATAAATTTATTGAAATACAAATTGAGACAATAATTGAAAAATACGGTTGCAATGAAATCGTGTAAAGATAAAATAATAAATCTGAAACGCAATTGGCCTACTGTCAATAATACTCGCGGTTAAAACTTGTCAGGGCCTTGAAAAAAACGAGACAATTTTTATTTCTCTGACAGTGTTCTTATTTATATTCACAAAAGTGCGGTACACTTGGAATGAGTGATTATTATAAAACACACGGCACGTGTGCCCCGAAAATAATAGATAGTCACATTGAGCTGGACAGAAACTCTTTGCGATGTTATTGTCACAATTTTTTACTCAGATATATATTATTATACTTTTGCTGCAAATTGTAGCACGCATAACAATGGTCGGCGGACTTAATTATCATAAGTTTATGAGGGTATGGCACACGCTATCACACCTGTTTTCATGCATACACTCGGCACGCTTATTCGAACACATATCCCTCTAATCCATCTATCGACAAAGCAATAATATAATGTTCACTTTTTTAATTTATTACAATGTAATATTCTTGGTCGTAAACTATACTCTCTGTTAAAATTTTAACAATTTTTTATAATCCAATAGTTGGGATAACAGACAGATACATTTCGCTGAGGTTAATTCGTTTTTTCATATTTTGTGAGTAATAGTCGAAATAGAAAATTGTCCATATGCGTAAATGATCTTTTTCAAACCCTTCATGTACTTAGGTTTTTTTAATTAATTTACACAAAGAGTACGCCATAAGAAGACTTATTGTACTCAGGATACTTCATTAAAATTTCATTAGGCTCATTTATTTTTAATAAATGTTATAGTAGTTTTAAAATGCAGAAATATTTAAAAATACCATATTTTATTATAGCGTAATTTTAAGATATTTTTTTACATTTCTAAAATTGAGGTTTTTTCAATTTTTGATGTTAGATTAAAATCGGGTTTTTTGGCATCTTAATCTTTAAAATCGGTTCTATGAGAGCTGAGAATTTTTTCATGGACAGACCTAAAAAACGTACACCATCACAAATCTTTTTGTAATTTTATTTTAATGACTTAAATTTTTTTGAGTTCATTAAGAGCTACAATAGCCTTTCCAAAAATAGGAGTTTTTTTAACTATGGATACTCCGAGACAGGGTAGTCCGTCGCCGGAGAGAGGGATGGCAATAATTACAATACATTAAAATGGAAACTTAATATTTAAATTCATATATTTTATTAAGCTATTGCTCGAACTCTATTGTTCATTTTTTCGTAAACATTCATTGATGAATAAGTATTTTAAGATTTATTTAAAATAAATATGTTAAAGTAATATTTAAATATGATGATTAACAAAGGGTTAGCTTGTAATAATAATCTTAACATTTTTATTTCTCAATTTCTGCATACAAGATTTTATAAATATAAGGGTAAATTTTGACAAAAATGTTATATTCGTGTACGATTTTTCAATATATTATGTCAAACTTAAATTGTGTGTAAAATACAACAACAAGGATAGACTTTAAGGGTAACTTTTGAATGTTAAATGGAAACCTACCATTACTATTTTACTATAATAAAGAATATTTTAAATGAAATTTTGATTGGTCGACAATCAGTATTTTTTATTACTTTATGAATTATTATAATATTTAATTAAAGGTTTATGCAGCGTAGAACAATTCTTATCTATGCGTCGCCTAATACTACCTCGCTTCTCGTCTTTTTTAAATCTTAAGATGCAAATTATCGACTATTCTTCACATAGTATTAAAAAAAATAATAGTACGTATCTGTTTAACTTTCAGAAGTTATCAATCCATTCTACCATTAGAAATCATTTTTTCTTACAATAAATTTGATATTTACAATGATATATTAAATTTTTATAAAAATATCGTTATCTAAAAAAATAATGGGGTGTAGTATATACTTAATAAATTACACAGTTTAGTTGTTCTTTATACATTTTAAGCTTGAATTAAGGACAATTTTTTTATTATAGCTAATAAAAAATAATGTTTAAATTGCTAGTCCAAAAACTGATACTATGATATACATAGTTTTATTTTCCCATCTTACTGTACAACTGCCATCTGTTAAATTATCCCAGTAGCAGGAACCGACTGAATGAAATCTAACTCCATTTTTCTGCATTATGGCACACGTTACTAAAAATTATTTTTTTTTTTATAAAAGCATAACAATCACTATCAGTTATTATGGGATTAAATTAAAATTAAAACGGCACATTGAGTTGCATAAAACCAAAATTTGAAACTAACAAATAGAAAATATTTATTACTGCTATGAATATTGTTTAGTTATCATATTATTCTAACCAATGTATTTGAAAGGTTTTGCAAGTTTACAAAGCTTTGTCAGACAATTTTCCACAACTGAATTTGTCCATTTATTAACCACGTTTTGATTGTATGACTCACTGCCAATTACATATTCAATAGAATCTTTAATGATATCACCCACTTCATCAACTACAAAGAGTGTCTGAAATAAAAGTATACACAATTATATGTTATTTAATTAAACATTTTATTTTGTCGTGTAAACATTACTGTAGTATAAATATTTCTATAATATAACATGACATTTTATATTTTACATGTCATCTAAATTGTATATTTATTATTTGAAAATGTTCTCGATCTATTAAACAATTTTATGCTAGTAATAAAAATATTACCTCTTCACTAGCAACTGTCATTTTAATGTCGTCAAAGAAAACTTAACTAAGTGTATTGAGTCAGTATAAAGACACGAAATATTTTAATTAATATCATAATTTTACTTAAATAAATGATAAATTAAAAATGTTACGTTGTTGAATTATCATGTGTAAATCTGACGAGATGTACACAGCTAGTACTTTATAATTATAATCTGTAACTTCCACCAACCGTTCACGTAACAAGACAGCCAACTATAGATAACAAGATAAACATTTTATATTTGTTGAGCAAAATATTTGTATTCTAATAAAATGATAATAATTTCGTTGACAATAATAATATAAAGAAACCCTAGCAACTTTAATGTCCATAGTGAATTTTTTTTACACATTTATTTATTTGTCAAAGTGTTTTCTCAGTTTGTCAAAATTTAAATAATTTTTGTATGAGTATTCTTAAATATTATAGTAGGTGATAATAAATTATACTTATAATATCGGTTTACTCTTTAAATACTGATAATTCTAAATTATTTCATTTTTATATTTAATAATATCATAGTATTTAATTAAATAATACTAAATATGTGATCATATATTAATACATTTACACAATGGAAACTAGAATAAATGTTCAATATCTGTTTTTTTAGAGATTTTTTTAGCTTAAAACTATAGCTTGATCACGTTTTAACCTGAATAAAGTAATAAAACACAAAAAATTAAAACTAGTCACATCTTTAAAAACTATAAATCATGTCATAAACTGTTTATTCATTTTATATTGTTTTGACCAAAGACATAAATTGACCTATCGGTATGATATTGTGTCAAGTCATTTCCAAAGTACTAAATTTTGGTCTTCATTCAAAAATCTTACAAATTTTGAAATGAGTCTAAAATAAGATATTCGATTCACGTGTCCGACAAAATACAATAGATGTCACATGGCTAATTTTTTTTATAATAGAACAATTTAATAATCATATTTTAATTTATATTTATGTAAGTATTAAAATAGTTAAACAAATTCTGTGATAAAAATATTTAACCAGTCGATATTTTTGGTAACTTTGTAATCTACATTTTTTCAAGGTCTCATTGGCCATCCATCATTCACATGTATGAGTAATATGAAATTTTTTTATAATCATTAATTATTTTAACGATAATTAGTAGGATCAACAGGAAAGAAGTATTTATAATTTTAATAATAACTTAAGAAATTAATAAGTTCACGTAAAAAACAAGTATTTCCATTTATTTAAAAATGTTTGTTTTATGAACACTCTGACTTTTTATTTTTTGGGGATATATTTTTCTCACTGTGATTTCTAATTTTCCAAATAAAATTACTCTTGCGTCTAAGGGTGTAATCAGAAATTAATAGTGTAGGAGTGGCATAAACAATATTTTTCTATTGAAAAGTTGTTACAAAAAGTATTGTGACTATTTTATACTCATTTCAAGCTGATAATGAGCAAAAAAAAAAAAAGTCAACAAATATTTTATATTAGCATATCATGGTCAATCGGGAAGTTCATATCCCTTGTGACCCAACCCTAATCATAGGCTACTGAATGTTTGAGTGAATCTAAAAACTAGACTTGGTTTGGGGTAATTAAACGACCGAAATGATTGCATTTACATTTACAATTTCATAAAATTTAGAAAAATAACGGGTTCATGTATTTTACAAACGTCAATTAGTTTATCAATATGCTTTTTTTTATTTGCATTTTTTGACAACGATTAACACCCGCATAAATATTTATTTTACTTTCAAAAAAACAATATTGTACCTATTGTAAATTTAGAAATTAATTAACTGCTATTATAGACTCTAGATACTATGTTTATTGGTCAAAATGTATGTACAATGAGATAATACCTTTAATTTATTGCGTTCGTCTTACTCAGCGAACTGTGTTAATTTCGGTGTTAGATTTTGAAATTACAGAACGATGCATTACAATATCAGTTAGGTTCCCTTATATTTTAAAAACGACCTTATTTATTTGTTAAATTTTTTAATAAAATGTAAATATCTCAAAATTAGTTTTAAACAATATTGGAATTAGATAACAAAAATCCATCTAGATCAATATAAATAATATTAATAATTTTTTTATTGGTTTCATAATAATAAAAAGTAATGAATGAAGAGATGACGAGTGATTTCTCTGTCTCACCCCTTTCAATTTTCGAAATAATGGTCCAAAAGTTATTATCGACCAGTTAGATTATTAGCTAATAAATAAGCTAGTTAATTATATATGTTCCCATTTGAAGAATTAAAGTTGTAAACCTTACGAGGTGTAAGGGATGAACATAAAAAATACTTCATTACTGATATTTTGAGAAAAATATGTAACTATAAGAAACAAATAAAAATATTAATATTATTTTTATTTTTTGAATAATTAAGCGATTTATGATAAATTAATTATCCTGTACAGTTGTAACCAAAAAGAGAAATTTATGATCAATATGAGAAAAGTATTAATTTTTATTTGGCTGCTAGTAAACAAATAGACACAGATATATTAGTTAGATGATTTGAACTAAGCTCTTCTAAACTTATAAATATAGAGAGAGTGAAAATATTATTTTTACCGACTGAATTATTTATAACAGAAGCGTATAACAAGTCTATAGCAAAGTAAGCCTAGTCCATACTAATGATGATAAATTATATTGCATAATTCGCCAGTGTCGCAGTGTTGTACATCAAATATTTTTGATGTGACATTATTCACGTCACCGAGTTTTTTTTATACAAACGACAATTATAATCATTAATTTTTATACTTGACGCATTAGTATCATACATTATCAAGCTATTATAACCCGATTCTTAAGATAAATTTTCTATTCATTATAGAAAGATTATTAGTGTGCTAAGGGTTTTTTACTTTTAAAAGTATTTTTGTGAATAATCTTCTGAAGTAGTAGTTAGTTCTAATTAACAGTATGTAGTAATAATTAAATTATATCAATCTACATGTGATAAAAATCATACTAATTTTGATTATTCACGCCAAATTAATATTTTATGTTAGACTTCAATTGCCGTTTACATATGGAAGACAAGGCGTTTGAACAAGGTTTTTTATCAGTTTATTGTATGTAACATAAACTTTAATTTAACATATGTTTGAAGTTCGGAGTATTTCTGACACATTTTCAAAAGTTAAGTTAAAAAGAATAATTTTTTATGTAAAATTTATTTTTAATCGCCCTTGTGGGTGTTCAAGAATCAAAATTTGAAAAATATACCAAATAAAAGGTAAATACCTATATTATTTAAAAAAAAAATCGTTTTGATTGATTTATTTTTAGTTTTAAACGTCTTAAGTAAAAATTTAAAAAAAGTAGTAATTTACTGTTTTTAAAAATAATAATTTTTTTGGTGGATTTTCCCCATTTATAGTGGGTGAGGAAATTTTTTTCAATTTTTAATGTCAATATCTTTAACAAGATACGATTTGTGATCGTATGATCATTGAAAAAAATTAGTCCAGTGAGAGCTGATAAAAAGAATATAAATAAATAATGAATAAAATAAACACACATGGTAAAATTAATACATTCTTAGCTTTGCGGCGAAGCTAAAAATTAAAAACATCCGTTTCCTTATATATTATTATCAGTAATACAATTATTTATGACTAAAAATATGTATAAATATTATAGACAATAATCCCGATTTTATTGTATGTATATGTGTACAAAACCGAACATAAAATAAAAATATCACCTCTTTTGAAAAAACCTTGTTTAGATATTGTTAAAAGACCTCCAATTTATTAAAATTTACATTAGGACTAAAGTAACTAGAGGGAACGTAACTGATATTACAAATACTGATAGCGTTAAAAAATAATTTTTTTGTATTTGGAGTTAAAGAATAGTTTTTTGTATTTACTATACATATTCTTTCCAGAAGATTTTGAATATTTGAGAAACACATAGAAGAGAAAATGTATGATAGTAAAAAAACGTATTTTTAGTCTGTAGGCTACATAACTATGTGTATCACATTTGATATTTTACATATCGATTTTTTCTAAGCTATTGTAATCTTAAATTAACAATATTAATAAAAGTATAATATAAATACTTAGCACAACTATAATACATAATTTGTATTGTTAATAAATATCAGTCATCATATAGTGGCTTTCAATAATAAATTAAGTATTATTTAATCGTTATAACATTGTATTTTTTTTATACTATTAGATTTATTTATTTACTATGAGACATAATGTATCATTACACAGTTTCATTGTATTCAACAATCGGTGGTGTATTACTTCCGATTCGTTTGTTTAGCCAATGGTCTGTAATAATAAACTAAATTGAACATTACCTAGTATCTTTCAATTGAGCCATCCACGGGGTTCCTATATTATATTTTTGTAACGTTTTGTCTGTCGATTAAAATCTCGACATTTTATGGAGTCAAATTAAAAAAACAAACTATTTTTAACGGATATATTAATAACATATAATGTTCATGATTCGAACAAAGGTAGTTGATATATTTAATTGAATATAGTTTTTATATTTAAATAATCAAGGAACCGTCTCAAACGAGTTACCCTTACTTACTAAATGATTTTGTTTTGCTGAAGGATAGTTTAGTTCATTTAGTTTCTACTTGAAGAATTATGAATTGTTCAAAAATGATTGCTTCTTGTTTTACTAAATCTAGATCATTTTATTAACACGCCTATTTTAGTTTCACCTGTATGTATGTATTTATGTATATATATATATATATATATATATGTTTGTAACTCTCNTAATTATATATTAACACGCTTTATTCTAATTAAGAGATATAAAGTATTCATTCCGATTACGAGGGATGATTTCCGTATCGTCATANGCGTTATCGCATATTCCGTTGTCTACGGCCTTGAGACTAAACTGTCTTAACGCATTCACCCCATCCCACGCCTAGCTCAACACTCGACGGCAACACTATTCCTGTATACATTTATTTTTGGTTATCGTACCCCTACACGCGTGCTTGTCATCAATATTATATTTATATAAACAAATTTTTATTTTGACTGACCAATACCATCCGCGTGCCNTTCCACGTTCCGGGAATGAGTAATTTGCGCGCCTGCTGCTTTCCTTGGATGTGTTAGCCGCTTCTCTGACTCCTTCTCCGGAATCGAACTCTGATTCCCGTTACCCGTAACAACCAAGATATTGGTAACTATGATTAAGTAACTACAATCATAACATGAAACTAAAAAGTGAAAAATAATTTTTAACTTTTTAGTTCGATGTGCTTTAAAAGCATGTTTTTTAGTTTTTTTTAACTATATTTATAGTTGATGTTACACTCTATTCACTTTGATAGGTTGGTATTTTTTTTATTGAGACCCGTCACTTAAAAACGGTAAATAAGCATAGTAATAAAAATTCTTGCTCTTTAAACTGAAATAGGGACGGGTGGTAAATCTTCACATCACTGCTATCCTGCTTAAAAAATCAATTATTTTAAGTTCACAATGAAGCATGTTGATTACAACGAATATCTAATGATTTTCGTTTTAAGTTTAATATACATATATTTTTAAGATTGGCTTTAATACTTATAGCTGTTGTTTAGTAACATTAATCATGCGGAAATAATATTGAAAATCAAATTGTTTATAGCATTGGAATAAATTTATTACTATCATTTCATGAACTAACTTGTTTTAATCATTGCTGTAAAATCGTAAATATGTGTTATAAGTGCATTCCATTCTGTGGGGAAGACAAACAATTGGGAATACCAGTTAAAAAATGGCTATACTATAGTGTATTCATATATGCGGTAAATTGCAATATTATTGTATTTATTATTTAATAGATTGTGAAGTCTTAGCAAAATTTTATATTTAATTTAAATTAGAATTTGGAATCAAAACCTATTTTTTCTACGTGACAAACATTAACCTTTTTTTTTTTATGTTTTTTTAATATAATTGAACGAATGTACATGTACATTTATATGAATATCAAATATTTTTCTTTACTGAAATTTTTAAATATGTTGCTGAATATCTGATAACTTTTAACATGTATCAAAGCTTTTAAAAATGATTATATGGTTGAAAAATGATTAGTGTTAATCGATCAATAGTATTTGTAGAATACTATAGAACAGAGTGTTTTATATTGTGCGTTATTTTTGAACTGGGTGACAGTTTTAAAATATTTTGTAGGAATCAATGTTCTGATTAGTTACCAACTATTTTTGTTTTAGGTTTTTCTAGCGATTCATATGATTGCAATGGTATATTGTTTAGCGTCTAGAGGTAAGTAATAATATGTTTAGATAAGTTTCAAATTATGATTATAAGGCCCGACGTGCAAAGACCTTTTATTTATTCATTTAATTTAAATAATAGTTTTGGCTTTTTTGGTTACTAGTCGCAAGTTTGCATGATATTTACTATTTAAATTTTATATAAAGTAAAAAAAAAATTAAGTAGATATGTTTCTTGTAGATTTGAAATTAAATATCCCTTAATTGTATTCTTTAAAAATTTCTTTTCGAATATATGGCATGTGATTAAAATGTCTTTGAATAGTACACTATAATGTTATACTGAATGTATAATTGATAATTTCGAAGAATTTGTAGATTGCGATAATCATATTTATGTTAAACTAAAATTTTTTATGTATTGTATAAGTTTATTAAAGGTCGTTGTGCGAATGCATCATATCCTAACCAATCCGTTACTGAATGTCTATGTCAAAATATGCATGAACAATTCTTTCTAAATATAGTTTTCGAATGTATTTAATTCTTTGTATTTTATAGATTTTGCTGTAAACATGAGTCTCATAAACGTGGGCTTAGAGATCTTCAATGTATTTTTCACATTTTACTTTTTACATTATGAATACTGGAAAAGGGTAAGTGATGTTCTATAAAATATTAACATTACTTAATGTACGGGAGACTGGGGTTTCCGTTGATCAATTATTTATTAAGGAAGTTTGAAAAATTTATTTAGTGCCATTTAATTTATCTTGTTTTCAAGTTGTCCTTGACAAAATGTTGAACATTTAAGATAAAATTTCAGTTATTTAAAAAGAAAATTGTAATTTTGAGGTAAAAAAGTAAATTTTAAGTTTTTTTGGAAATGATAAGTTAGTTAACACAATAATTTGTTTCGGATTTAACTTGTAAATCGTTAAAAGCCTTATTTTTTAATATTTGTCTCCAATAAGAAAAAATAATTGTTTATATTTTTTGAAGAATTCTAATATATAATGGAGTGCTCATACACCAGCACGACTTAATATGTTATTTTAAATTGTGTACAACAGTATGATCTGTTTACGTAGCAATTGCTAGGTAGGTGTAATTTTTTGTATTGAATTCGTTCAATATTACCAAATATTCCTTCTTTAGAAAATAATAATTTTATTTAAATATGATTTTAATTATATAACAATTAATATTTATAATAATTTTATTAGGGTGTCAAGGTAAATGGAACAAACGTATCTGGAGGAAACTTCACGGATTTATTTTTAATTTACTTAATTTTTGAAGTCATATATTTTATCTTAATTGATGGATTCAGATATATGCCAGATAGATTTAATGAAGTAGTTGATCGAACAGCAACAAAGAATTTGTACCTATGTTTGTATGATTTTCATCTAGAGTATTTTGATCACTTTATACACAGTATGTAACTATTTAAATTTTCCACATATTTTTTACTATTATAATTCTAAAGTTATTTTATGTTTTTAGTTATCATGTTTATCATGTATATTTGGATGTGGTTTGCACTAAATATAAAATTGAAGCATGGATAATTATTGAACTGTGGCAATATTTTGATTATCGATTAAACTTCGATAAATCACACAAATCTAACGAACTTTTAATGATTTAATAAATCACAGACTTATTTCAATAATTTCATTTTATTTAATTTAATTATTATTTATTTATTTATTAAAATATTTTGAAGATCAATTACATGAAATTCCGGAAATTTTTTCGAAAACTTATTTTGCAGTTTCGAACTAGATTTTTTGTAAACAATTTTTTATGATTGAGCTCATCTACTTTATCTTCTAATTATTTATTATTATTTACTTCAATCTATATTTTAATATCATGTAACTATATCGTCGTTGATATGTAATAATTAAGTAAGGTGACAGAATGGGATTCTCTAACATCGCGTCTTCATACCACTAGTCTTCTAGCATTAGCGTGTCCTCGCATCGTCAACCGTTTTCCTTTCTACGACGAATACCCGTCATTTTTTTCATATTTTTCAAATTGGTCTTTACACTTTTTTCTCTTATGTTTAAAACTTATTAATCGTTCGATTACAATTTTTGATTAATTTTATTTCCGATTCCTTAGCCAAGTCTTACCACTATTCGTTTGGTTAGTCTTGCGCTCATATTTGTATTTTTTGTCACTGATTAAGTAGTTTATGAAAATTGCTTTCAATTTATGTAGTATTTCTACATTTATAATTATTCGTCGCCATCTTATATTCACTATCTCATCATCTAGTCAATGTTCTTGTTTTTACTCAAAATCAAATAATTCAGCTCAGCCTCTCTTTATTTTTTGTATCCAGCATAAAAATAAGAATTTTAAACATATTTATATATTGCTAAACAGCTTTAATATATTATCATACATTTATAGTCATTAAACCAGGTGTACCTATTTTGATTCTCTCATCTTCTTTCTCCATTCTTTCAAATATGAACAACTCATCACATTAGTAGCAGGCAATCTTTTTAATATTAGAGTTACACGTTACAGTCCTGAACTCTAATATTTTATACAATCGTGATTTAAAAAAAATTAAAATTCGTATGTTATTGCAGTAACATGTGTTTCTGCTGTAAAAATAGTCAAATTTTCATGCATATATTAGAAATAGAAATATTTCAATTTATTTGTAAAAATAAATTTATATCATTCTATATATTATTTTAAATAATTATAAAGTGTAATAGCTTTTTAGAAACGCTTTAAAGCTAAACAGGTTTTACTCTGTCATGTTTTTTTGTGTTTATATGCAATATCATCTTCGTTGATACTGGACCAATTTTATCAACTATAAATCGAAAAATTATAAAACGTATCTAGTTTAAATTTCAGAATCATAATTTCTTCTAATTTCAATAATAAAGGGAAAAAACTGTTATAAAACAGTCAATGTTGATATTGTTAGTTTTCACTTTATATCGAAATATATTTTGAAAAGTAGACAGATTATTCCGAAATTATTATTAATGATACTTTAATTTACTTATTAATCTTTTCGAAGACATATTTTTGTAGTTATTAGCTAACGTAACATGTGCACTTAAAAATCATATCAATATTATTTTCTTTTCAATTTTTAATAATATTACTAATAACCTGTCTTTTTTAAGAAAATTACATCAAATTAATGTTGATACAATCCACTTTAATATAAAAATGGAAAATCTATACAAAAATTTGATTTTTAGGAAATTTCGGCTATTTGAGCTAAAAATTACACAATTTTTGGTAAAAATGACAAAATCTATATTGTTTAAAACAAACAAAAGATACAGCTTATTTGATGTATGATTAAAAATAGAAAGATATTCCGACGGTTAGTCAATTTTGAGTTGTCATAAATAGTGTAATTTTTCGTGGATTTTTTAATTATTTTACAATTTGTTTCAAAATATGCATCTAAGTATTTGATAGTGATTTTAATCACAAGTTGTGTTTTCTTCAATAAAATTAAAAATTTTAAAATATGTAATTAAAAATTGAATACAGCCATTTGATTGTTAGCTGATTTTTTTTCTTCATCGTAAAAGCATTTTACAACATAAATAGGATAAATATAGATAGCTAAAAAAGAAAATTACTTTACTAATTTATAATGGAGGTATTTTACGCAGGTGGGCTGTGTTTGATAGTGTTACACTAAGTCTTAATGGAAATGTTTACAGAATTTTATTGTTTACTTAAAAGACACCGTGTGGTAATATATAAATGTCACCCTAAAAATAATTATATTTTTATCTTAACTTGAAAAGCAGTTTGGGACTTATTAGTTAATAGTTAAAAGTTGAGCCTTCTTATTCGTCTTATTAATCTATTATAATTAATGAGAATATAAATGTTTTGTTCGCAAGAAAAAATTGGAGCTTTGAAATTTTATATCATTCTATAAATCTCTCTAACATCATTAACTAAGCGTACATTATATTGAATTAATATAATTTTAGGTATAGATAAAACTTAAAAGTAGACTGTATGACTTTCCTGAGTCATGTGGTAAAAATAGAGCTTAGCTAATAGGGTGGTCCTTATTTTTTCGAATTTCGAAATTTCTTTTGGGACACCCCTCCATTTTTTTCTTTAGTATAAAAAAATAATATTCTGAAAATTTAAAATCATTTGGAAAAATTTAAATCGAGGCGCACAGCATTTTAAGGTTTTGACATCGAATTTTCGAAGAATATTCTATAAAACGATAAAAAAAACTCATATTAGAGGTTTTCAAGTGATTTTTTCAATAAAAGTCAAGATACAAAAAAAAAAAACCTTATTTAAAGACAAATATTTTGATATACTATTTTTAAAAATGTATTGAATTTTTTACATGAGATAACAATACATTGGTAATTTAAAAATAATTAAACAGCTTATTTTTTATACTTCGTTACTTTAATAGTTTCAACGCTCCATTATAACCTTTTCAAATGTTTATACTGACTTGAATATAAATTAATTAAGTTATTAAGTTGAATTTTATAGCACTGAACTAGTATTAGTTGAAATAAATCATAAAAAATGAAATAAAATTTAAAAATAGCTTTAAATTAAAAAAAAAAAAATTTGCTAATAACTAACATTTCCCGTACCCCACCTTACTTAAATCTTTAAATGCTTATACCTTAAAAACAGTATCATTCTAGCTCAAAAGATAGGGCTCGAGCACGCCCGGGGCTTTAAAAGAAAATTGCTTCTGGTACCCCCGAAGTCCTAGGCGGACATTGCTTAAAAGTAATATTGTTATATTGGTTATTGACTGATCAAAAGTTCATTTAGTTCATTCTTCTTCTCATTGTAAAAAATAATAATTATAGATAAATGGGCATCTATAATTATTACTTATGCTATAACTTTCCAAAATCACTAAAAATATTTTTTCAAAAAACTTGTTATCTACAATAATATATTAGATATTATAACAGTTATGATGTGATCAATTATGGTTCTTAAAAACAAATCTAACTTATTCAGTAAACTTTTATGAAATAATCATTATTTAACGTAAAAACGTAGGTAGTATTAGGAATACTATCATGCTGTATAAAGATAAGTCAAGTCCTATTTAACGGTGGAAAAGTTCCGACTTCTTTAGTAATTGTATACGTACATCATACGGATGTGATTAATAAACGCAAATAATCTCGGAAATTTTACGAAAACCGCCAAACATTTCAAGAATAGATCCCCTACTAATAACTTACTAACAATTATGTAAGATTGGAGTATTTACTAAACTTATAACGTACCTATTGTAATAGCTGCGTCGATTAAAATTATAACACAGCCTGCTACAAATTTGATATTTTGTGTAATTACAAAACCAATTGTCATGATTATACAAAATATGAAAGGCATAGCTAAATATATCACAAAAAATTTCAACCAATCATTAATGCTTTTTATATCACGCTGAAAAAGTAAAACAAAATATTAACATTAAATATACGAAAAAAAAATCTTAAATTTCAAGAGTTCAAGTAATTTAAGTTAAATAACTACATTTTTATAAGTTTTTTTAACAATTTTTCTAATCAAATATTTTTACACTTAAACTGTTTTGTAAATATACAGGTAAAAATAATAATTTTATTGTAAATATAACCATTTGAATAAAAAATTTACTCATCTTATTTATATTCTTAGTGTTTGTGTAGCAATATAATTTTGCTTATCAGTTCAAGAATAAATGAAGTTCGTTACGTGAATCATCAAATTGTATTAAGTGCACAAGACCTTTGCAAGAAAAGAGTGAAGTTTATGTAAAGGTACATTTTAGTGTCGAATTATAGAATGATTTTGTTATCATGTATCATTCAATTAAGTAAAATATTAGCGGCGAAAACAGTTTTCGTGTTGATTATTCGTCTTAAATTGCATGTTTAAATATGAACCTGAACAAAAGTAAATCAAATATTCCTGTCAAAAGTGCTAAAGTTTTTAGCTCTTCATTGGATAGCTCATCTACGAAACAAAGTCGTTTAACATTAGATGATAAATAAATAAATTTGTATGAATGAGTCTGTTGAAGTTTTTATCAATTCAAGAAAAACTAACAAATTATGAATCCTGTTTTACAAAACTCAATAATTCTATGGGTAATTTAGTGTCTTCTATGGCTAATTTAAAAAAAATAAATAAAATGATTTCCTTAAATTTGAAATGAAAACGTTAATACTTCAATATTTTGGTTAAAAAACAATTTTCTAAATCAACTGTACCCAAAACTTTCAGTTGATGTTTTTTCAGAGACTGAAGATAAAATTCTAGGGATTGTAATATCATTGTTTATAATGTAAATAAGAGTTGTAATGAGGAAAATTCGGATAATTCTGTAATCCCTGTAAAATATTTATATTATAATTTAGAACTTGATATTTCTATATGCTAAAACTAAAAGAATTGGAAAAAACCTGACAGAAAAGCGACCATTGCTAGTACAATGTTTGACAGAGGATGATGTACTTAAAATTTTAAAATCCAAAATTAAGCTTTAGTTAATGGATAAATGAAAAGATATTTGGATATGTACAGATTTAACTCTTTACTAGCGTCAAACTATAAAAAATGTATGCCAAGAACTTAGAAAAAAAAGCGTGAATCTA